CTACAGGCCAGAAGCCTCATCCTCAAGAGCTCCCCAGCGGTGACCATTGACTCCAGGCCCCAGGCACCCTGTCCGTGAATCACCCTGCCCCAGCCCTGGAGCCCCCCGAGCCCTGCCAACTCTCACCGCTCCTGGTGCAGAGTCTCCAGGGCCTTGGGGGCCACGCTGAGTGTCTGGACCTCCAGGGTGCTGTTCCGAGACAGCCCTGCAGCCCCTGTCACCTTGACCGTCTTTGGCACATCCACCTGTCCCTCCACTCGGGCATCCAGCATATTCTTAAAGGCAAAGTTCCCGGAGTCTGTTGGATCTGCAGGAGGGAGAAGACGACAGGGATTGGGCTGAGAGGCATCCGTCAACCCTCCCCCACCTCCTGTGAGAACCTGGGGCGAGATGACGCCTAATTCCATCTGTGTGCAGAGGGAGCTTGGGGTCCTCCTCGTGGGCTGGTGCCTGGGCCCCGTCCCTCTGTACCCGCCCCCCTGCCCGAGGCTGACCTGAAGGTGAGCTGCCAGGTTCAAGCACATCCAGGAGGGTGTAGTCAGTGCGCACGTACCGGGCGCCCCAGAAGAGCGTGCTCTTCCTCTTCCTCAGCACCAGGCAGAAGGGGTGGAAGCGCTTGAAGTCTATGAGGCTGTCGAGGGGCGTCAGGTCCCCTCGAGGGTTGAGCTGTCTGGTCAGGGCCCGGGTGACATTTTCAAACATAGTCATTGTCTCTGTGTGGGGAGGGAGACAGGAGAGGGACACGCTGGGAGACCGGGACATGGGAAGGCCCCTGCCCAGAGAGATCACCTTTAGGACGCCTGGGTTCTTGGAGTGTCGGAGTTGAAAGGGACCGAAGGATTCTTCATTTTGTGATGAGGAAACTGAGACAACGTGCCCCTTGCCTTGCCCTTTCTCGGTCAAGGGCCCTTTTCCCGCCCCACAGGCATTTTCTCCGTGGCCTGGGAGCCTGGCTGGAGCATTTCACTAGCGAAGGGAGTAAAGCCCCTCTCACACAGCCGTGCCCCCCCCCATCTTCCCGAGACGTCCCGTGACAGCCAGGGCCCAGGGACACCGGGGCAGGGGGCAGTCATTGCTGGCGCCAGGGCCTGCAGAGGCCGGTGCCCTGTTTTTTTGGTCCCGGGTGGCCTCCCTGTACTCGTACTTCCCTTGCACCCTCCTCCTCCTGGGCCCTGGGTGCGGGTGGGCCCCCTGCCCTCCGGGTCCCGCCCAGACACTTCGCCGCTCCTTGCCTTTGCTTCCCCTCGGCTTATAAAACCTCCCTTCCAGTCTAAAGAATCCCTGTTCATCCCTTAAGACGCAGTTTGGCTCAGCTCCTCTGTGATCTCTTCCCTCACCTTTCCAGACAGCTAGTGGCTCCACCCCATGTCCCCAAAACAGGTGTCCTGTTGAAACACCTGTGACCTCATGTTGTTATGATCGGTTCATCTGACTCCCTCACCGGCTCTACTGCGACCACCCAGAGGGAAGGAAATGGCTGGTAGTCATCTCCACAGCACCGGCGCCAGGCACAGTGCCCGGCGCAGCCCTGGGGCGTGGCAGGTGTGTGCGGAAAGAATGAACGAACAAAGGAATGAACGTGGCCCTGGGGGGCACGGGCCGAGGTGGGAGGGCCCTGGAGAATGCGGGACCTGCGAGAGCCTGGGGTTCACGCTCTTGGGTCTCCATCTTTGAGGTTCAAGTCCAGGTGCTCTGGCTGGGCAGCCGCTGGCAGAGCCAGATCATCCCCGTGGGTGGAAGAGGACACACCAGCCAGTCTGGAACTGCCTCACCCTCCCTACGGGCCCCTCAGAGAACCGGGGAAGCGGGAGTCGGGTGGCAGGTGCATCGGCCGTTCTGCCAGCCGCAGGGGCGAGCTCTCCTCGTTCCGAGGAGGGCCAGGCTGGGCCAAGACAGCCTCCTGGGGCCAGCCAGACTCAAGCGGGAAGGGCTCGGACGGCTGCAGTCTGTTCACCAGAGAGGGGCTTGCAGCAGGGCCGTCTCCCCTCCACTCCCCAAAGCCAGTCAGGTCACCCACACTGCTGGGCTCCCGGGACTACTGAGCCCTTCTCGACCCACCCGTGTTCCTGTTCATCCCTAGAACCCCCCCTGCCTCCTCCACTGTCATCAGGCTCTTACCAGGGAGTGGTGCTGGGTCCTGTCGTGCAGCTGGGTCTGGGGTGAGGGCCCGGGGCTCGCTTGGCCTGGAGGTTGAGAGAGTCACTGCCCCTCACCGGGACAGGCTGCTGTTTTATGCCTCTGTGGGGGCAAGGATGTAGGTAGGCTTCAGGGGACCCCGCCTGCCCCAGTGACCCCACCCCTCCTCGCTCCACTTCCGGGAGAACAGCATCAACCTGTTCCACGTGTGCCCCGCCCCGGGCCCCCGGGGCCCTGGCCTTCTGAGGGGGTGGGGAGCTGCCCGGCAGATGCCTGCGTGGGTTGGGGGAACCAAGGCCAAGAGAGAGGTTGTCCAGGGACGGCTGGCTGGATGGGCTGAGAGGAGAGGGAGGCAGGCCCCTTCGGGGGAGAGGCAGTGGAAGCTGCGCGCGTGTGTGATGAGGGATGGCGTCCCTGTTCTCTTTTCATCGTGGTCATCGGGAAGCATCTGGAATTCATGATGAGGCCTTGGGGGTATGGTAAGGGCATAAGAAATCCCGTGTTTGCAGATTTCGGCATGAAGCAAAGCAGCTGCAAGGGCGCCCTCCATCTTTCTGCTGGTCGGCCTGCATGTTACCGCCCGACTCCGTGGGTTTTAGCTGCCCACGCTCCTCTGGGGCGCTGCTAGCAGCACGTATCTGCGAGGGCAGAGGTGGTTTGCTGTTGTTTTGTGTTCGGCATCTCTGCCCCTCACGGGACACTGCACACACACACACACACACACACACACATGCACACACACAGACAATACACATACACTCACACACATACGGGCAGAGGCACGTGGAGTTAGCGGAAAACCCCAAATGAACGTCTGTTGTGGGGATTCAGACGCCGCAGCCCTTCAGTCACGGAGGCCCTTCTCTGACTTGAAGGCCCTGCCTGGAGGGGCTTTTCAAGGGGACTTCATGCACATGGTGAGGCCTCCAGATGACCATTCACGACATTTACAAGCCAGGCTCCTATAGTGTGGGGCTGGGGCTAGGCGTCCACTGGAGCGTGTTTGACCTGAATGCAGCTGAGCATGTGTGCTCTCACCTGCAGGCTTTCCTCGGTACCACTCATCAGAAAGGAAATGCAGCCTTGAACCCTGGCTGGTGTGGCTCAGCGGACTGAGCACCGGCCTGGAAACCGAAGGGCCGCTGGTTCCATTCCCGGTCAGGGCACCTGCCTGGGTCGCGGGCTGGGTCCCTTGCGCATCATGTTTCTTTCCCCCTCTCTCTCTCCCTTTCTCCTCTCTAAAAATAAATAAATAAAATATTTAAAAAACCCCACAATGGAAGGCAGTCTTGAAAGCCATGAAAGGTAAGTTAGGTTTACTTGAGGGGCTGGCGGTAAATGGGGAGACTAGACCACACAACGCTCAGTAAATCTCCCTAAAAACTCCATTATTCCACCTCCGTCCTGAAGCCTCATTCAGTACGACAGCTCCATCCGAGTGAGTCCCTTTTCTCCATAGCTTAAAACAGAACCAGACCAGCTCCTGCTGGGTCTCTGGTCCCCGCCGCCGACCTTTCTGCTCACCACCCTCTGCACCCACCCCAGGTCCTTCCCATGCAGCTCTCTGCCAATTCCTCCTTCCCTGACCCTAACCATTACCTTAACCAAACACCCCTCCTTCTTGGACAAGGCAGAGCCGGGACTCTGGGCGTGTGGGCAGGCTGCCATCCATCATCTGGTCCTTTTCACACATGCACGTGTCTGCAGAGATGGGCTGCCTGTGTGATGTCCTTCCCATCTCCACGCTTCCCTGGATTTCCGCCTCTTTCCCTCGGCCTGTCTTAATCAGCACGCAGATGCGACACCAGTGCCATCCAGTACACAGTCTGGGCTGTGCGGTCTCCCTTCCCTTAGTTAGCTCTGGAGTAGGCGGCCCCGCTCCCACCCCTTTTGCCAGCCCACCATGGATTGCCTCAGTCAGACTTTTGGGAGTTTTTCCCCTGGTGTCCACTCTCCTCCCGCTGGCTGCAGGCCAAAACTGCCGGTCCAGCTCATCTTCCAAAGACCCAGAGAGAGGGGCTTGAGGAAGCCACACACACAGATCTGCTCTCTCTCAGACGGACCCTGCAGTCCAACGAGCCAGCTTTCTCTCCTTTGACCCAGAAGTCTTGCTCCTTTTGCTTCTCTTGCCCTCACTCACTCCGAACTCTAGGGGCCCTGTCCTCATGCTCCTTGTCCCATCGCCGCCCCCCCCCCCCCGCAGCATCGGGCCGCCCCTCAAATTGCCGATGGTGTTCCAAGTGGGAGGCTTTGACGGCTCTAAACAGAGAGAAGAAACACGGGCCTGTGGGGTCAGCCAGGCTGAGGGTCTTGTGCTTTTACGATAGCAGTACCCACGTCGCGCTGGCCCCTGTGCTGCTTCTCCCGCCCACCCGGGGCACACTGTCTTTTTGTAACACACTCCCCACTCTCAGAGTCTTAGGGAAAGTCCGCAGAATCCCTTCAGGGTCCAGAGGCTCCTTCTCCCTAGAGTCCTGGTTTATGCTCCGGACAATCTGGGATGTGTTTTAAATTGTGCTGGAAGAGATTTAAGTTTGACTAATATGAGAGAATACTTTTGGTTCATTAAAAGTGACTTGCTGGAGCAGGAGGCTGGGCGCCAGTGCGGTCAGTGGTGCTGATGCAGGTGGCAAGCTTTGCTCTCTATTTCCCTCTGCTGGTCAAGCAAGGGAGGTAATGGGCGATAATCACCCCTGAGGTGAGCTTCAAGCTTGTGATTTGGGTGTGGTTGCTAGGAGACGGGATCCAGGAAGGGAACTGACCAGGGGAGGAAGCTCAGCCTCTTGCTCTCTGGGAACCCGAATGTCTGCCCCTCGGAGTGCTCTGCAGACGCTGCAAACAGACACAGCTAGTGGGACAGGACATTATTTTCTTACTCATTTTCCTTTTTATTATTGTCGATTTTCTCCTCAACAAGGGACCCAAAAGGAGAGAGATGGGGCAGTCTACCGGAGTTCAGGAGGGTGGAAGGCAGGAATCCCGGCAAGAACAGGGAGAAGCTGGCAGCTATGAGGGAGGAGGTTCAGGACTGTGGCTGTAGGGTATGGAGCCCACTGGTAGGATGCAGATGGCTGGAGCCCTTGGGGAAAGTTGCCCCTTGCACAGACACACTTCCAGGTCTTCTCTGAGTGAAAGGAGGTGGAATAAGGAGGGAGGAAAGCAGGTTGAATGGAGGCATGACTGGTGGAGGGTCAGGAAGAACACCCTCCAAGGTTCTAGAACTTTGTATCTCCCATGGGAGACTGGAAGTTTTGGGGTGCAGACTGCATATGGTGAGCTCTATTTCCATAAGTGAACTATACTTCTTTTCTGAACAGAATACCCCCCGTCCCAAACTCCTTTCTTATTCCTTAAAAAAGTTTGAGGGTTCTCCATAAATTCCCACATTAGCTTTGGAGCCCACAACATCTCCAGACTCCTCGCTGAGCGGACAGCGTCCAGTGTCTCGTGACGGTTATTCCACTCGAGGTTGTGCTGAAGAACCGAAGCGCGGAACGTACTTCTGCAGCTCGAAGCATGTCAAACTCCGCATCCGAGTTCAAGGTGTCAGCCCCCAGCCCCCACGGACAATCCCCTGATGCAGCGGGAGTAGGTGCTGGAGCTGGTGTCCGCTTCATGCTTTTGCTCCTCAGCTGTGACTGCTGGGCCCTCCTGAAAGGACAAAACCCCCAGATCCTGTTACAGAGGCGGGTCCCAGATGGAGCCTTTGCAGCCCTGCCTCCAAGGGCACTTGGAGCTGCAGTGCCTCTGCATCCCACCGTCCCCCCTAGGCCCAGGCCCACGCCCGGGCCCCTCTGCTTGCCCTTGCCCTGGTTGGGGGGAGCCACATGTTGTTGCTTAGCTCCTGAAGGAAGGAGACGGCGTAGACGGCACAGAGCAATCACGACGCATTGGGCATCCACGTATAGAGGGGTCTATCCCCTTGTATGTCAAGGCTGTAGGGTCCCACCAGGGCCTCCTGGATCCCCTTCAGCTTCTCACTCCGGGGGTCCCTGACCAGCTTGAAGTGAGGACAGAAGAGCACTCCCTCGCTCTGGAAAAAATTTTGGTGCAGGGTGGTCTCCATCTGCACAGTAGGGAATAAACACCCCAGGATGCTTTGACTTCGTGGAGCCACCAACTTCACAGGCGGTCTGCTGTAGAAACGTAAATTTCAACCCCAGCCCCGATCCCTGCCCTGTCTTCCCATTGGTTCTAGAGTCGAGCAGAAATGGGCGTGGATTAAGAGTCTGGAGACCTGAGTTCCGCAGAGGGCTCTGCTAGAAGCTCGCAGTGTGGCCCTGGAGAAGTGCCTCCTGCTCTCTGGGCCAGTGTACTCATCCGCCAGTGAGGAAGTGGAGCTAGGTGAGCTCCTGCATCCCCCGGAGTGGCTGAACTAAATTTTACTCTAGTGGTCCTCCCTCTCACACCCGTCCTGTGACCCTCAGTAGCCTCACCACCTCTGTCTGTTGGTCGAGGAACCCTATCTTCACGGATATGGCCAGCAACTGCTGTTGCTCCTCGGTCAGCTCTGCGGTGGGTAAAGAAAAGGAGATGATGGGAGGGGCAAGGGCACACCTCCCTCTGGTGGGCAGGGGGCTGTACTGCAGCGCTGGGAGCTGGAGCCAAGGCGCGTGTGTGTGCTCGCGTGTGCTGCAGGGAGCCGGGCGGCAGATTCACTCTTTCCACTCCAGAACAGGATGAGAGAAGATTCCTGGAAAGTTATTTTCCCTTTCTTTTAAAAATATTTTATTTATTTATTTTTTAGAGAGGAAGAAAGAGAGAGAGAGAAGAACACCAATGTGCAGTTGCTGGGGGCCGTGGCCTGCAACTCAGGCATGTGCCCTGACTAGGATCGAACCTGTGACACTTTGGTTCGCAGCCAACGCTCAATCCACTGAGCTACGCCAGTCAGGGCTCTCTTCCCCTTTGTTTTAGGAAAGTTAGGTGGGGAGTAGGTGGGCTCGCCCCTCTTGCCTTTGTCTTGGAGGACGGGGCAACAGGGTTTGGACGCGGATTCGCTCTGCTTGTAGCTTGGTACCAGCGCCAGCTTCACAGGTATGCAGCTGGCAGGCTGCACAGGGCCCCATGCTCGGTTTGGTGCTAGGGTGTCGCCATTGTGAATATTTCTTTTTAAAAAATATTTTATTTATTTATTTTTAGATAGAGGGGAAGGAAGGGAGGAGAGAGGGCAAAAACATCGGTGTGCAAGGGATACATGGATCGGCTGCCTCCCGCACACCCCCCGGATTGAGGACCTGGCCCACAACCCAGCAGGCATGTGTCCTGACTGGGAGTCGAACTGGCGACCTTTCTGTTCGCAGGCCGGCACTCAATCCCCTGAGCCACACCAGCCATGGCTTCGTGAATAATTCCCAATAATATTTTTTTGAACAAGCCCTGTATTTTCATCTTGCACGGGAGCCCATAGATTATGTTTCGGGTCCTGCTCGACACCATCGGGCTTAACCCAGTAGGCTTGTCAGTCACAGTAGGTCCGGAATGCCATCCCCATTCCCGACCCTTGCCACCCACGGAGAGCCCCCAGCAGGTAGCCAGTATGGGGCTGAGTTTGCTAGAAGTCTGCTGCAGTCGTTGGAGGACTGAGTCCCTGGGCCCACCCCTCCGCCTCTCTGAACCACGGGCCCTTTAAGATGTAGGACCTGGTCCACTTGGCAGAGTTGGGGAGTGATCAGCTAGCTACTCCAGCAGTTAGAGAGGAAAGGAGCCCCCTGAGTCCGGGGAGCAGGCCTCCCTGTTCAAAGTGGGGACTCCCCTCAGGAAGGGGTCCAGTCTCTCTTTTAGCCTAAAGAAGACTCCCTCGAGTGGACTTGCAGGCTAGGATCTCAATGGACTAGGAGGTCGGTCACACCCCACCAACCGTACCCGGACCTAGGGCTACACAGCCCCGCCCCCAACCGTCGTAAGCCCCGCCCCTCGCGTCCTTAGTCCTGCCCTCACCACCTGGGCCCTGCCTCTGGTGCTCACAGTCTGCTTCTTACCACTCAGCCCCGCCCCTGGGCCCCGCGGAGGGTCTGTGTCCTCCAGCTCCCCGCAGCGCCTGCCCTACCCCAGCAGCGCCGGTCCTTCCCTTAGCCTGGAGGTCCACTGCTCCGGAGTCGGACCCTTCAGTGTCAGGAGCCCCTCCACCTAAGCACTAGAAACCTCGCGTTCTCCCAGGGGGCCGGCTCAGGCCTGGGCTGAGCTTTGAGTACAGGACAATGGTGACCACGACCCTCCCCGCTCCTCCTGCCTCGACAGGACTTCACCCAGTGAGCCCCCACCAGGTACAGGGAATATGACCAGGGCAGGGTCTGGTGTGGGGTGCCCATGGAACTCTATTCCTTACAGAATTTTCTGACGGGCATCGAAGATCCTGCAAAGGGGAAAGGGACACACTCCTGGGACAGAGATGGCGAGACAGGGCAGAGAGCTCCTTGGGCACAGGTGTCCTCTTGCACTGCGGGTCAGCTCTGGGTGGGTTCAGCCCCCACCTGCCTACCACAGTGTGGTGGAGGCTGGGGGTGAGGGCTGGGGGAGGACCCACTTCAAGGGCCCAGGGAACCCGTGGCTGGGACCCCAGTCATTATTACGTCCTGCCCAAGTCTGAGGGACCCCTCTGCATCCCACCCACCATGTCCCCTAATTTGGGAGAAGGGGCTCTGGACTTGCGTTCCTTGCTTTACCCATTTCTTCCCTTCGCTGGAGAAGGGGGTCTTTGTGTCCCTCTTGCCTTCAGAGACTTTGCCCACCCTTTCTCGGCCATCACATTACCCAGTGAGGAAGAGGAGAAGGGTCCTCCAGCTTCCCCCACCTTGGGCAGGGAACAGTGGTGAGGTTTTGGAGTTCGGGGAGTTTCAACACTTGCCACTGACCGACCCGGACAGGGTTATGCAATGGGAGTCTTGTGAGTGCCGCCTTGGTGATCCTGGAGGGTTTTGTAGGGTCTATGGGACAGACAATTCCCCTGCGTGTCCCCACACACACGTCACAAGACACCGTCCCTGACCCACTCTGCGTGATAACTCGCCCTGACCCAGAAAGTGAGCAAGAACGGAGGGCTGGCTTCGGACGCTAGTGGGACTGGGGGGACTTGAGGTTTGGGGTTCTTTTAGCGTTCTAAAGGCAACAGTCATCGTCCAAAGTGCAGAAGTGAGAGTTGTGGCTCAGAGAAGATAAACTGGATTCCAGGTGCCTGAGCAGGTGCGCAGGTTGGCGGTGGCGGTAGAACATCACACGGGCACGGAGAGACGAGAATGGGGAAGAACCGTGAGGTGCTGACCCCACGTCCTGGGGACTCCAGAGCCATCTTCACCTCACCGAAGGGCTGTCCCATCCAAGACGGGCCAGGCTTGCTCTGCACGGCCCCAGGGCCAGATTCGGGACTCGAGGGAAGAAGGAACAAGGAGGCAGACCGGGTGGAATGAGCATTTTCCAACCGCTGTTTTGCCGTATTTGCTTCTGCCCCGGCAGAAGGGAAACTTTCTCAAGCATATCACTTGCTCTCTGCCTCCAAGAGTGGATACTCTGAGATGTAACCTTTTTTGTAGATAACTCCAAGTCAATGCGATTAATATTATGCCAATGCCCAAAGGCCATGTTAAGGCAGGGAGAATTGTTTGTCCACACAGGGCCCTTTAGAAGACACCCAGGGCCCTACTGCCATGCTTTCTGAGTTCTCGTAAATACTTCTGTAATGGTCCCTGGTGGTCATTTCCCACTGCTGTTATTCTACCGCCTGTGATGTGGTTTTTGCTCCTTCAGGTACACAGCTTCTAACTTGCCATCTGCAGGAAACCACAGTTACAAAATTATTAGAACTCTATGCAAAGTAAGATTTAAAAAATAACTAAAATAAATGGGTGCTGAGAGCGTGCTCCTGTGAACAAAGTGCGTGAACCTTAGCAGCGTCTGCTTCAGATGACACTTCTGGGCTCACGAGGCCCCTGTGCACACTGCGTCACCCCGGCTGTCGTCACTGGTACCCTGACCTGGCAGGTCCCCAAGGATGGGCACCGTGGCCTCCTCATCTTTGTGTCTGCAGTGCCTGCCATGGAGCAGTCACTCAATACGTGTTGGTGGGAAGAATGAGTGGACGGTGGTGGCATGTGCTTTGGCAGCTGGGGCACCTCCTCTGCTTTGTTTGCTTCGTTCCTGGTTTGGGGCAACACTGCTCCTCGGCCGGCCGGCGGGGCTGCTGGGGATGGAGTCCTGGGCAGGTGGGCAGGTGACGTGAACCCGCTTCTAGTCGGAACTCCCTTCGTCTGATGGGAAGGCACGGCCCCTCTGCTTGGGATGAGCTGCCCGGGCTGCTCCTGGCTCTGACGCCGACATCCCCCACTCTGCAGCAGGGCTCAGGGCTGCACTGGAACCGTCTGCACGTGAGCCCCAGACAGGAAGGGCGGGCCGGGCCCCACCTGTTGCTCCTCCGCTGCCTCCTTCTGTTCTGAGTAATCGGTTTACTCTCTGTTCACTTCCTTTTGTAGAGAATGAGGCTTTGTCGGTGCTTTGCAGTTTCTGTGTGTGTGTGGGGGGGGGGTAGGTGTCGGTCTCACTCGGTCCAGAGCTCCTCAAAGAGAAAGAAAACCTGTTTTCTTTTATTACTTTGGGAGTTCCCTGAGAGTTAGGTGCATATTGCTCCCCCTTTCACTCGGGGGCTCCCTGAGGGCAGTGTCTGCTCCCCACTCATGCAGGGGCAGGAGGGAGCTGGTGGTGAAAGGGCTGAGTGAGGGGCTTCTTTTCTCCCACCTTTCCACACAGACCGCCGGCTCCGGGTTGCTGCCCGGGGTGCACAGGCGGGGCTGCCTCAGGCCTCCCGGGCTCTTGCCTCAGAGCTGGACCAAGTGTGCGGCCGGGCTCTCTTGGCATCCGGCAGCTTTGTCCCTGGCTCCAGCACATCCTGGGGTGGGAGAGGCTGACCGTGGTGCGTGCAGCTCACTGTCCTTCTGTATATACCACACAGAATGGCCATAAGCAGGCAGCAAAAACGAGGCCGTCCAGCTGCCTCGACAGGGCCCGCAAGGCATCTCGGGACACAGGGCCTAAGGTTGGGGGTGAAACCAGTTATGCCACCCCTTCCTGCCTGCCCAGTGGACAAGCACAACCCACAGGCCAGGGCGCCGAGGGAAGGGCTCAGGGGCTCCGTGACTTGTTCCAGGCAGGAGCGTCCCTGAGTCCGTGGAGGCCCCGCTCTGTCCGGCCTCCTGTGCTGGGCTGCTTCGGAGCTACAGCTTCTGAAGCCCCCCTCCCACCAGGTTCTGACTCGGGAACGCGGACTGGCTGGGGCAGAGGGACCTCTCCGTGGAGATGGGAGCCAGTGAAGCATGTCCCCTGCCCTCTCCTCCTGCCCTTGTTCCAGAGAGGGAGAGGAGCTTGAGCGGTTGGGGGCCCCGGGGGCGGGTAAGTGGTGGGATGTTTGTTATCCGGTGCCCCAGGACCCCTCCTGACCAGGGTTCCAGGCAGAGCTTCCCTCCCTGGATCCTGCCCCATCCTGAGCTCGGCTTTGAGCTTTGGGGATAAGTGTCAGGGCAGGGGAACGACCACGCTGCAGACCCTATAGGCTCAGTCTCTGCTGCTCAGGATGACAGGGGATCGGATGAGACTCCAGGAGCGGGCGCCAGTGGTGGAGCCCAGAGGCTGCCCCTGTTCCCCACCCTGCCACCTCCACAGACCCCACAGTCTGCTTCCCAGGGCTCAGCAGGACGTGGCCCAGCCTGGTTCCCGCAGGGGTGGGTGGGCAGGGTGGGGCAGACTCCGAGAGTGGCAGCGGAAGGGCCCACGGGGGGTTTGACAGGGACGGGCCAGGATTGTAAGGCCCAGGCCAGGGTATGGCTGGGGTGGATGGTCCACGCCGCAGCTGAAGCTTCCCATATCCTAGTTTCTTCTCCCGTCCCTGAGCGCCCCTGGAAGTGGAGAGGCCCGTGTCTCCTGAGAAAAGAGGATGGGTGGGGTGTCCCAGGAGTCAAACTGAGCCTTCCTGGGTGACATGAGAGCTCAGCCTTGGGTTGGTGGGGGGAGCCTCAGGGATGGACAGAGGAGCGGTGGAAAGGGGGTTGGAAAGGAGACAGGGACGTCAGGATGGGTCAGAGGGACCGGGAGGGGTGATGGATTCCTCTTTGCTGCTCCTTGAGTGGCCGCCCGGGGTGCCCAGGCTCTGCCCTGTGCCAGGTAGAATGCTGGTTCCCTGGGTCTCATTCTCCGTTTCGTCTGGGGCTCCTACAAGCTTTCCCAAAGCAGCTGTTTCCTCCTTGGGGGCCTCACGGGCGGATCGCTCTGCATGGGGGCGAGAGGCAGGGTGTAGTCACCCCCCTGGGTCCCTCGGGAAGCCTGTTTGCTGATAGGAACATCTCATACAGCCCCCTGCTTGGTCTCCGCCCTGTTACCCCTCCTCCAGGAAGTTTTCATTAACGTGAACACCTAACTTCTCTGAACCCCTGCTCAGCCTCCCACCGAGAGAAGAGAAGAATGCGAGACGGTAACGGCTCCCTCGCTCTCTGCCTCCTGTGCCTCCTCCCGCAGGCTGGAGCCTGCTGCCGGCGAGGACTGGTGCCCAGCCATCGCCCTCCTCCCTCCAGGCCCTCCCCCTTCCCCATCCTTGCCGTTTGTCATCATTAATTCATACGCCCTGGCACCCCTTGCAGGCAGACTCTAGTGTCAGGAGCTGAGTGCCTAGTGCCAGGTGGGTAGGAGGGGAGGGAGGAGTTGGCGCTCAGCCCAGCAGGGGCACCCACCACCCAAGGGGTGACGGAGGTGGTGGTGAAGGTCTCAGCACCTTCCCCTCCTCACCGCTCGGCCACACACGATCAAGAAAACGAGCAAGCCCTGACTGGTGGGGCTCAGTGGGTTGGGTGTCGTCCCACAAACCGAAAGGTCTCTGGTTCGATTCCTGGTCAGGGCGCATGCCTGGGGCAACCGACCCATGTATCTCTTCCACATCGATGTTTTTCTCTCTGCCTGCCCCTCTCTCTAAAAATAAATAAGTAAAATCTTAAAAAAAAGAAAAAATGAATACTAAGAAAGAGATCAAGGGCATTCATAAAAGTGAATTTATTGAGTTGTCTTGGGGTGATCTGCTGGGGGAGGGAAATCCTTCCCCTCCCTCTGCCCCCCACTCTCCAGTGAGGGACCCACCCCCAGCTCAGGCACGGAGGAGACCGAGTTACCCCCAGGGAATGTGTTCAGAGAACCATTCAGTAGAGGAGAGAGCGGAAAGATGGACAGTCTCTGGGAAAGGAAGCAGGGGTTCCCCCAAGAGAGAGGCGGAAGTGAGGGGGGAGCTTCTCAGTAGAGGTGAGAGAGAAGAGAGGAGGAGCCCCCCCCCACCTTCTCAGTTTAACTGCATCCCACCCTTCTGATCGCATCTCCGGCTCGGTCCCACCGCCCACCCCTCGGCCCTCCCGGCACCCTCTAGTTCAGCTCCGAGGTAGGTCTCGCTGCAGCCCAGACATTCCAAGTCGTTTTGCATCTTCTTTGCCTTTGTCCACCACCTTTCAGCTAGGGTCTCCCTCTTCTGCCCAAAGCCCTTCTCATTCTGGAAGGGTCTGTTCAGACATCTGCACAGCGAAGCCTTAGAGGTCAGCTCAGCCAGGCTGGGGCTCCCTGCCCCACGCACCCACAGCCGTCTGCTCCGACCTCCAGGTTGGCACACACGCCACCTGCCTCCTCTGCTCTGCCCGCTCCCCCCCCACCCCCGCCCCACTGCTGTGGACTCAGGTGCTTTGAGCCTTGCACAATCTGGGCCCAAAGTAGGCACCAAAAATGGGCACCCAAAATACTCCAAGCACCAATAATAGTGTGGGTTGAAAGAGAGAGGTCAGGAGTTCAGGGGAGATAGAAGAGGAAGAGGGTGGGGCTTGGGGGGTGGGGTGGGGCTGCAGAGGAGGCAGAGGGGTCAGAGGGAAAGAGGGAGCACAGGGGAAGGAGTGCGGGGCGTGGTCATCAGACCATCGTGCTGAGGGTGGAGGAGTCCTCGGAGCGCACGGGCGGCTTGGGGGACCTGTTCAGGGGACGCCGGCTCTCATCCCGATTCTGCCACACGTAGTGGACCAGGTAGGCCACCACCAGTGCCAGCCAGCCCCCCATGGTGACCAGCAGGGCCACGTCTGTGCTCCGCCGGGCCCCGCCCCGCCCGGCCCCACACAGCTCTTCCTCCCCTGCCAGCGGCAGAAACTCCTGCCCCACGAGGTCTGGTCGGGCTCCCGGGCCGCACACGATGCCCGTCCCAGTGCCCGGTGCCAGCCTCACCTGTCTGAGAACCTCCTGGAGGGCACAGTCGCAGTGCCACGGGTTGGCAGACAGGTTCACTTGGATCTGCAGCCCCACGAAGGCCTCCGCGGGCACCGAGGCCAGCTGGTTGGCAGAGAGGTCGAGGTGCCGCAGCGTGCCCGCCAGGCCCTGGAAGGCAGCCCCCGAGAGGTGGGCAAGGACGTTATGGGACAGATCCAGCTCCTCCAGAACAGGCAGGTGCCGGAAGGCGCCGGCGGGCACCGATGCCAGCCGGTTGGCATCTAGGTAGAGCTTGCGGGTATCGTTGGGGATGCCGGGGGGCACGGCACTTAGGCCTGCCTGGCTGCAGCGGAACGTCCGCTCGCCAGCTTCCTCTGCCGTGTAGCAGCCCTGGGGGGGCACCCGGGGGCTGGGCATGGTGCCCCCGGTGCCCACCACCAGCAACAGGGACAGGAGGTGTCTGGCTGGCGGGAGCATGGCTGCAGACTGGCATAGCCCTGGAGTGGAGTAGGACCTGGGGAAGAGAAAGACCCGCAAAGAGAGAGTGAGTGGAGAGAACCCCACTCCCCACCGCCAGCTCTCTCTTCCTGAGGTCTTCCCGCAGAGCCTCTCTGGACGGCGGACCCTCCTTTGGGGGATCTCTCGGGCCTGGGTGACTCTTTTGCTTCCTCTTTGGGGTTCAGGGCTCCTCATCAGGCCCTGTGGTTAAAGGATCCCTGGGCCCGAGACTCCTCTAGGGCCTCTTTGAGTCTGGAGGGCTAATCTATGAAGTCTCTTGGCCGAAGACCCTGTTGTCATTCTGGGTCGGGGGGCTTCTAAGTTCCTGCTTCTGCCCACGTATTGATTTTCCTCACTGGAATGAAGTCCTTTTCCACCAACCTACCTGGGCGGCTGCCAGGTGGACCAGGGAGGTGGCAGAGGGCCAGGTGGCACTAGTGTGAGGAGACAAAGAGGACAGGTCAGTAACAGGACTTCAGGATGCCCGGCCAGGCTCGGTGCCCAAGGCCCCACCTCTGTGCCCATCCGCCCCTCTCCCGCAGCATCCAGCCCTCCGCCTGCCCCAGTTTTGTCTTCCCCGCCCGGCTCCTTCCTCCCGTGTCCCCTCCCTCCCCCCTCAGCACCTCACCCCCTTCGGTGGGAGAGCCTTCTCTCCCCGGGCTGCCCTCTCCCTAGAGGCAGCCGCCCTGCTGCTGCCTCTGGAGACCGGCTTCCTCCCCCAGAAGCCCTGCTTGCTCGCAGCTGCTGGAAGCTGGGGGCTGGGGCCCAAGAGTATTGGGTTTCCTGGCATGTGACTCCGGTCCCCAGGTATCAGACACCCGAGCCATGGCCTGGCCAGACGATGCCAAGAGAGGGCAGATGCTGGACCCTGATGAACTCTGCCTGGGAGACCAGGCGCCGCCGGTTCCATTCCCCGCCTTGGGCTCCCCTCCCAAGGCCTGCTGACGTCATCTTCCATTCCCTGTCTCCCAGCTGGGGAGGAGACTCTTCCTTCCAGAACTTCGTTCGATCCCTTGCCCAGGCCCTGGCTGAGCAGAAGGATCCCTGCTTGGCAGGCCTGCGTGGGTTCGATCTCACATCCATTGCCTCTAGCAACCCCGTTCCCCCCAACTCCATCCCTCCCCCCACTCCCCTGCTCTGCCCTTCTGCCACACCACGTGGCACCTTCTTCGCTGCTGAGCAAACCTGTCTCAGCCTTTTCCTTGGAAGACTTGTCTCTCTCTGGAGGGCTCCATCTCTTGGCCCCGCACAGGGTGCCCAGCCCGCTTGCTTGGCAGGGAGCACTGCAGTGCAGTTTTAGTTTGTTCCCCATGCTGTGGGCAGATGGCCCCTCTAGGAGTTGGAAGGGGTTCTTCCAGGTGCCTAATGCCTGAGGTGGCTGCCGACCAGTTTTCCTGCCGGTTGTATGTTCTGGACTGGAGCTGACTCAGGTCCCCTCGGTTCGCTGGGGCCCTGGGCTCCCAGGTTGGAACTTTTGACTCCCCTTCATGCCCAACAGCCGGGGAGGGCTGGGGTGATAGTCCCCAGGGCTTCTTTATTTTTTTATCCTCATCCAAGGACACTTTTTTCCCCCATTTTTTTTAGAGAGAAAGAGGGAAAGAGAGAGAGAGAGATAAACACCGACTGGCTGCTTCTAGTACATGCCCCAACTGGGGATTGAGCCCCCAGCCCAGGCATGTGCCCCGACTGGGAATCGAACTCCCAACATTTTGGTGCATGGGACGACATTCCAACCAACTGAACCACACTGGCCAGGGCTCCCCGGGGTCTCTGAATCACACGCATCATTTGCAGCCCAAGCCACTGTGTTATACCACCCTCTCCTAATAGCCGCCGGGTACTGGAAGAGTGGGGTGTCATGGAGACCCCACTTGCACGGAAGAGGCTGGGGTCCCACGCTGTGGAGACCCCTCTGAGAAGGAGAACCTCGCTGGGTTTTGTAAGAGACTGTGGGTGACCAGATGGGACACAATCGCAGGCCCAGTGCAAAATGAAAATGTGGGGGCCCTCGTTCCAAGACTGATATGAATGTCAACGTAGTGACAGCAGATGGCAAAACCAAGCGTAGGGCCCTGCTGAGCACAAGGCGTGGCGCCCTGAGCAACTGCACAGGTCGCATGCCCACGAAGCTGGCCTTGTGGAGCTGACCTTTGAACCAGCAGTTTCAGCAGCACAGTGGGGCCCAGAGTCAGAGGTTAGGACGCCAGATGACATCATCTCTGGGGATGTGCTGACTGCTGACTCATTCTCGTGACAGTGACAGGGCATTTCTCACACTAGCATTTGTCCGAGGAATCAGGTAAGACGGATTTTCTACACTTGGGCAGGAGAGGCGGAGCATGTGTCTGTGGGTGGCTTGTTAGTTAGACCGGGCACTGCGCCACTGACTAAAAACTTCAGTGTCCGTTTTGGGATTGTAGCTGCGTGTGGACTAGAAAGCATGTGGAATGCTCCCCTCTCCCTCCCCTCCGCTGCTCTTCCCTCGCACGGGGCAAGAGAGTTAGCTAAGGCACAAGAGTTGAGCCTGGCTGTTGTTGGAGAGAGTTGCCTCCTTTTCAGACTAAGGCAGCTGCCAGGGAAGAGCGGGACAGGGGTGCCCAGCACGGCAGCTGTGGGAGGAGCGGCGGTCCGTGCACGCAGGAGGGGCCGTCTGGAGCATGGATGCGGTGAGCTGAGGGCGGCTTGGTGCAGTGCTCCGTAGGGAAGGAAGACCAGAGAGGAAGGAGGAACCACTCTCACAGTGGTGCACAGTACAGGCTGCGAGCTGACAGTGTTGGAACAGAAATTCTTCCCTGCCATGCGTTCATTCATTCATTATTTCATTCAGCGAGGACTTCCTGCTAGCCCCATGTTTCAAGCACTGTGCTTGTCGAAGGAGATATGGACACTGTTCTTAAGGTCCTAGATCTGTGGCTGCGGTTAACCCAGCCTGCACATGACAGCCATTTGGGGGAGCTTTCAGAAATTAGTTATGGTGCCCTGGCTGGTGTGGCTCAGTGGATTGAGTGCCGGCCTGCGAAGCAAAGGGCTGGTTCGATTCCCAGCCAGGGCACATACCTGGGTTTCGGGCCAGATCCCCAGTAGGGGGTGCACAAGAGGCAACCACACATTGATGTTTCTCTCCCTCTCTTTTTCCCTCCCTTCCCTTTCTCTAAAAATAAATAAATAATATCTTTTAAAAAAATGAATTATGGCTGAGTTTCATCAACTAAATTAAACTCTCTGTGAATGGGGTCTAGGCACTGGTATTTTCCAAAAGCCCCCCACGTATTTCTAACATGCAGCCTGAGTTGAGAACTGCCGGAGAGACGTGACGGGTCGACGCGCGTCCCCACAATGCCTTCCTGTGGTCCCTGCTGTAGTTGTGCGCGCAGGAGCTTTGAGGCCCGGAGAGAATAAGCAGCTGTGGCAGCATCTGCTGGCGGTGCACAGGGTGTACTGCAGGGGAGGCAACACTGTACCTCCACCCTCTTAGGACTTCCCAGCCAGGACTGAGAATTAGACGGACGGAAGACAGATTAACAGGCAAAAAGCATACAAACACTTATATGTTTTACACGACATAGGAGCTCTCATGAGGAAATGAAGACCCAAAGAGGTGGCAAAACACGAGTACTTTTGTCCTAGATTGAATAAAGAGAGGCAATTGTGAGAAAGTAACTAAAATGTACGAGGAGGCTGGAGGAAGATTAGAGTTACTTTGACAAGGTCTGTTTGTACAGAGTTCTCTAGGCTTTGACTCCCCGTTGAATGACGTGTCTTGTCTCCCAGTACAAAGAGAGCGTCTTTCACGTGACGGTTTCTGTCTCCTGGTTTCTGGGAGAAAATAGGAGATTGAAATGCCCTTCTGTGTCTGTTTTGTTTTTTTTTAATGTGTCTTTAGCGCAATCCTTATGCCTAAATGGCATATTTGGGGGTGGCCTATTTTGTCACCCTTCAGTATCCATTCCTTACCTCTGTCCTTGATGACACACACAGAATTGGAGGTAACAATGTCCTCAGTCCTTCATGGCAGAGCCTGACTGGTCCTTTCCGTTTACTAGAAATCCTGTTGCCCACTTTTCCCAGCCTCTGCTGCAGCTGAGGCTGGCCCAATTCTGATCCATGATATCTAGGTCTGCTGAAGGGGTTTCTGGGAGAGCCTTTGATTCATTCATAAAAAAGAATGGGCTAGGCCCTCCCCCTTCTCCCTATAGCTTTCTCCCTGCCTTAGACACGGAGGGCCAACTATGGCCATCTGTGACCTCGGGGCAACCAGGCAGAAAGGAAAAGTTAAGAGCATCATGGAGACATTGGCCCGGATATCACCGAACCACTCAACCAACCCTAGCAACCGCCTACCTCTGGACTCATTACAAATAACCCCCTGCTTTGGTGCTTCTCAACGTGGCTGCACATCAGAGGATGGGAGGTTTGGAAAACTACCGCCGTCTGGGTCTACCAGGTCCGCCACAGACATCGTGATTAAATTAATTTGGCATATTTCCAGGGGTGGACTTTTAAAACCTCCTTAGGTCAGGGCCATTCCTCTCCTAGTGTTTTCGTTTGCTTTCAGATGAGATCATTCTTATCTGATAAGACTCACTTTTCCAGGATAACAGGGAAGGCTTCCCCAAGGAGGGACATCTGAGCTGGGTGACACGGGGGACGGAGTTCATCAGCCGGAACAGCCGAGTACGTGCAAGCGCAAAGGAGCACGAGAAGGCTTGGCTTCTCCTAGACGGTAGCGTGGGGGGGACGGTGGCAAAGGTTATGGTTAACCTGGGGAGGGACCAGGTCCTTGCGGCCTTGCATACCATGTAAGAATTGGGGCTTGGTTTAGTAGCTGATGGACAGAAGGGTTTTTTAAATTATCTTTGATATTTGGGGCACTTGGCTGGCTGTGTGGAGAGCGTATTGGTGGAAGAAAGACCAGTTGCAACAACAGTCGGGGCGGGGGGATACTGAGGGCCCGAGCGGAAGCCAGGGTGTGGGACTGGAGGAGCCGTGAACTGGGTGTCCCTTTCTTCGCCATGGCTGTGAGGTGCGTAGGAAAACTCATGGGCCAGGCTTGAGGCCATCCGACATTGGTGCCACTGGCTACACAGCTTTCCCCAACCCCCCTTGGGCCTTTCGTTCTCTGGATCTTACTGTCTCTGAGATCCCTTAAAGCCTGATGTTCAACGTGTCTACGACGATGAGGCGGGGAAGAGGCTGAGGCATGCAGGGTCTGCCTCTCAAGTTCAGGCCCCGGGGAGGTGGGCCTGCCAGGTCCCCACGCTGGGCAGGCTGAATCGTAGCTTCTCCCTTTGAGGGCAGTAACTCCATGCCCCAAAGATGTGACCTCGGAGGGAAGAAATTCAGCAAGCCTCCAGGTCCCTACCTGCCCGATGTTGGAAGCCCCTGGGACCATCCTGGATTGAGGGGGTAGTTGAAAGGAAAGGAGGAGGGCTAGCTACTTTACCGATTGTGTTAGCCAGGGACGCATCTAATGCCAGTGTCCTGGGCAGTTTAGGCAGGAGGGGCAGCTATTCTTGTTCCTTGTG